CGCAAACAGGTGGCAATCAATAGGAATAGAGATTGAGAATTGATGGAGAACTGCGTCAGGAAGTGCTGCTATCTTTTGTTTTGATTCCGATTTCTTTCGGAAATTTGTTCCGTCGCAGTTTTTTCAAACAGATATCGGACAGTCACCAGATTGAAATCGGTCATGAAACGGACACTGATGTTACCAGGAGACGAATGATATGCTGGATCAACGACTCGCCCCTGAAAGAACATTCACAGGAGTTAATCCTACTGTTCCATTCCCACGTGAATTTGAGTGACCGAAGTTCGTCCCAAATGTGTCCAGTTGAGACGGCCACTTGCCCCTAGGGTCATAAAATGCAACCACTCCGGCGGACGTTTTTCTGTCACTTGTGTTGTGCTGGCACCAACTTCCCCAGTAGTTTGGCCAGCACGCTCGTTAAACCAATTGCCCTGTGTTTCACAGGTAGGTGCTTATCACCCTTTTTAAAAACGACCTGCAGCAGCCCCCTTTCATTCAACAGGTACAGCGCAACTTGCTAGACTTTTTAAACAAGCGTATTAAGGGTTCGCGAATTTCATTTTCTAGTTCATGTAGCAACTTGAAATGAATAACATTGACGCCAGAAGCTTTCCTAGAATTTAGCCCCCGTAACATTGAAAGTACCTGGGTCTCTGACACGGAGATAGCTGTCAGAAAGGAGTATACTGGAATTTTTCTAAATCAACAGCTGGCATAAAGACTAATGCAAACGTTCTCGCATACTATTCACCAAGCAAACAGGCCTTGTAGTAGTCAATGTGCGCTATAGTCTTATCCAGTCCGTGCAACATCGAGGTGAATGGATTCATATGGTTTCGTCATTTGACGTAGAAGCAAATCTCTGGGTTTGTAGAAGCTGTTCACACCTGGTCATCCTACCTGCAGATAGATCATTTTTTAAGAATGGGCAGAGACTGGCCAATCGAATGGTTGAAGTGTGTTTCTCACTGTTGTATTCCGAAAAAGCAGCAGACCAGCGTAGCACCGGAACGTATGTATGGAGGAAACTGTCGCACACATGCGCAGTACAAGTAAATCGAGAGAGGTTCGCATTGCAACCAATCAAATGCAAGATATGGTAGGTCAACAAGTGCTAAATAGAAGTGAGTAAGTTAAGCGAATCGAGGACAAACATCATCATCATCATCATTACACATTAGCTGGAGGTGGAAAACACCTCAGCTATTGTGCCGCAATACAAAAGATAAGAAAAGGAAAACAAACGGTGGCACGCCCGCTGAGTCCCCAGTAACGGATGGACATCGTTCCGGAGAGCTAACAGCTGGCTGCCGTAAAAGAGAGTCATATTATGCCTAACAAGTAAGATCGTGATTGGAGGGGATGCTAAACAGGAGGGGGATGGACAAAGGAACTCGCAACACGAACGCCATTGGGGCCGGCTCCTAGCCATATCAGCGAGTGTGTCCAACCAAACATGTTCACCGTCCTTAGGACCCCAGCCAGGCAGTCGGGATGCACCAACCAACGCCAACTTCGAAGTGAGGGTTTTCATTTCTCTCGACCAAGTCATCGCTTGGCCTCCCCTCCTCCTCTTCCAACCGCACCCACAACGCGCAAACAACGCACGTCGCGGGAGTCGATGTGCTGGCATGCGCAAAACGTGGCCCAGCCATCGGAGCCTGGTGCGTGATATAATGGTGCTGAGCGGTTCATTCGCTCTTCCTGCACCAAATACGTGACGTCGAACACGCTCATTGCTCACGCGGTGCTCCCACCAGGCATGAGCTAAGCTGCGAAGGCAGCGATGATCGAATATGACGAGCCTCTTCATGTCTGTCGACCTGATGGGCCAGGTTTCACAACTATATAGGAGAGTTGAACGGACGGCTGTGCTATAAAATCTGCCCTTCAGGGCGACAGTGATGTCGCGTCTGCGCCACAGGTGGCGGAGATTGGCAAAAGCACCTCGAGCTTTTGCTATACGGTTCGTAACCTCATCTTCAATCCCACGGGTGCTAATATAGCTGCCCAGGTACTTGAATTCCTGAGCGACTTCTAGCAGATCAACACCAAGCGCTAGCGCAGGGTTGGGTCCCTACCAATCTTGGAGAAGTACTTTGCATTTCGATGGAGCAAAGCATAGTCCAAAACGATTGACAGCCAGTGCTAATCGGTCCAGTGCTGTTTGGCATGTTTGGGAGCTGTCACAGATTAGGGCAATATCGTCCGCATACTCCAAGTCAAGAAGTCGCTCACCAGGAAGTAGCTCCACACCTTCTACGTCGTGTCCAGCGAACGCTGTTTCCATGACTTCATCAATAGCGAAGTTGAAGAGGAAAGGTGACAGCGGGCATCCTTGTCTCACACCGCTGGTGATACTGAAGGGTGGCGACAGTTTGCCATAAACCCTCACCCTGCCCGAACTATGCGCGTACAGTGCTTTGATAATGTTTACATATTTATCAGGCACACCTTTCCTCAGCAGACAGTCCCAAAGGGCACATCGATCGACTGAGTCGAAGGTACCTTTTATGTCAAGAAACAGGACCACAGTGTGACGCCAATAGACATGGCGGTGCTCTAACGATTGACGCAAGGTGAAGATGTGGTCGATGCAGCCCCGACCTCGACGAAATTCGGCTTGCTCTTCACGAATCTGGCTTTCACGAGTGTCAGTCAGTCTGTGGAGAATGACAGAGGCAAGCAATTTAGAAGCATTCGAAATCAGACTGATCCCTCTGGTGGGTGAAAAAACGGCCATCAGCGCGCGACTGATGACTGTTCGCCTAGGACTCGAAAGAGGTACGTTTGCCACTTTTATAAGCACGTACGGTCCGACCATGTGTTATCCTGATGAAGCGTGATCAATTCTCCCTTAGTTATCCTCCGTGATACTGTCTATGCCGAGGAGCAACCGACTATTCCTGCTGGGTGATTTCAATGCGCGCGTTGGGCGTGATGCATCGGTGTGGACAGATGTTATCGGTCCGCATGGGATTGATTCAGCAAATGCGAACGGTGACAGGCTACTCTCACTGGGTGCCACTCACGGCCTGACGATCACAAACACTCGGTTTGCACTGAGTGCGAGTGATATAGCAACTTGGACCACGGAGTGGTCACGCTCACCTGCTCGACTATGTCATCGTACGTCAGCGTGATATGCGTGAAATGCGCATGACACGTGTACTGCGTGGAGCTGAGTGTGGCACTGATCACAAATTGGTGAGAACCAAACTGTACATATATTTTCGTAAATCTATGTATTGCACTCCCGCCGTGAATCGGCTTAAATTTAACACGCCTGTGTGATGTGGAAGGCATAGCCACAGTGGGCGACCTGTGGCACCACATTCGCGACCAGGTGACAGCTGCTGCCGAGGAGGCCATCGGGCGCGCAAACTGTAAGCGGCCTGATTGGGTTGATGACAACAATGCGACGATTGGCGCACTGGTGTCGGAGAAGAATGCAGCATTTGCAGCACGTGTCGCAGACCCCAGTGACTTGGGGAAGAAGAGTCAGTTTCGCAAACTTCGACGGCGACTGACCCGAGAGCTCCGTCGCATAAAAAGTACATGGTGGACGGAGAAGGCGAAGCAGTTGGAATGCTACGCCGAACGCCGCCAACACAAGGAATTCTTTGACTCCTTGAAGGCGGTGTATGGACCGAGATTAGAGCCGCTGAGGACGCTGATCGATGGTAGTTCAGGCGCTACCTGCACACAGACTGCAGACATAATGCAGATCTGGCGAAAACACTTTGACTGTCTCTTGAACAACCGTTCAGAGATCGACTGGCCTACATTGAACGGCGGACACGCCGACACTGGATGAGACGCAGAGAGCACTTGCTCAGCTGCGAAACGACAAATGTGCTGGAGCCGACGGGATCCCGCCTGAAGTATTGAAACACGGCGGACCCGCGTTGTTGACTGCGCTGCACCACTTGGTGCAACGTCTCTCGTTTGAAGAGGTGCCTCCTGAGCTGAAGGATGCCCTTGTGCTACCACTGTACAAGGGTAAAGGGAGCAAGCACTGTTGCACGAACTATCGTGGCATCAACTTGCTGAGTTGTGTGGGCAAGGTGATTGCCCGAATCCTGCTCAACCGCGTCGTCAGTCAGCTTGTGGAACCGAACGTGGCGGAAGAGCAATGTGGATTCCGTTCGGGTCGCAACACTATAGATATGATGTTTGCGGCTCGTCAGTTGCAGGAGAAGTGCAGAGAACGACACCAGCCATTGTACTCGCTGTTTGTTGATTTCACCAAGGCATTTGATACGGTGAACCGCGAGGCATTGTGGCTGGTGTTGGGTAAGTTTGGTTGTTCGCGTAAGTTTATAAGTTTAATTGAATGTCTGCACAGTGGTATGCGAGCGAGGGTGCAGCTGAGTGGAGAGACCTCGGATGACTTTGCAGTTGTCACTGGTGTGAAGCAAGGCTGTGTCTTTGCTCCTGCCCTGTTTAATATATATCTTCATGCAATGTTGTCCTGTGTTTTTGATGCCGCTTGTGCTTACGGTGTTCGTTTGGAGCACCGTATTGATGGTGGGTTGCTGAACATCCGTCGTTTCGGTGCGAGAACTCTAGTCTGTGAGACAACTATCCGTATGTTGCTGTTTGCTGACGACTGTGCGTTGTTTTCACACAACGCGGATGAGTTGCAGCACATGACTAGTGCTGTGGCTTCGACAGCGGCCAAATTCGGGCTCACCATCAACACAAGCAAAACTGTCCGTCTCTTTCAGCCTTCACCGGAGGTGCAATCTTCAATATTGCCGCGAATCAGCATTGGTGCTGAAGTATTGGAAACCACCTCCGGCTTCTGCTATTTTTGGAGTGTGATGTCGACTGACCAGCAGCTACACAGTGAGCTGCGTATTCGCGTGTCGAAGGCAGCGGCGGCATTCGGGGAGCTTGAGTACCGAGTGTGGAACAACCATTGGCACGAAGCTGATGGTGTACAAATCCATGGTGATGTCCCTTCTTCTATACGGCAGTGAAACGTGGACGATGTACCGTCGGGATGTGCGATATCTCAAACTGTTCCATTAGCAGTGTTTGCGACGGATTTTGCGCATCGGTTTGGGCGACAGAGTTGCTGACACAGAAGTGTTGCGAGAAAGTGGAATGTATGCAGTGGACTGCATAATTTTACTGAGACACCTGAGGTGGATCGGTCATGTGAGCCGTATGGATTCGACGCGGATACCGAAGCAGCTATTATATGGTCAGCTGAGTATTGGGAAGCGGCACGTGAGGAAACCAAATTTACGATACCAGGACATGATTAAAGTGAGCCTCACACGTTCTAATCTTGATTGCAGATCATGGGAATCGAAGGCGGTTGATCGGCGTGCATGGCGCGAGGTGCAGGAGAAAGCCCTCATGCATGCAGAGAAGAAGCGGCAAGCACCGATGGGTTGTTCTCCATCGACATCAAGCGCATGGTGCTGTAAAACATGCGGTCGCGAGTACCTTAGTCAGGCAGGCTTAGTGAGCCATGAGCGAGGCCACTCGGGACTACTACCGAAGCGACGACGGGTCCTGCAGAGAACGTAGCCAGAACCGGCCCAGCGTTTGTAAGTACGCTGCATTCGATTTACTAAGCGTGTGCTTGGATGCTAAGTCTCTTTATTTCAGGTGGTGGGTTTTCAATTTTGTCTTAATGCTTTTCTTTCCCATATAAATGTCTGTCTGCACTCTATTCCATTGACTTGCACACCTCGCTTAAGCCAATTGTATTCGATTTCCATAGCATTTTTGTGTTCGTGGCATTTCCGTAATGTATACTTTCTGACCTCGTGAACTTATCTAGGATTGGTTTTTGAACAACTTACTTCATATGCTCATTAACTTAAGGTTTATGTCACCGTTTCCTTACGCATTAATCGGGTTATTTTCTTTTTCCTATCTCAAGTGATTGGCTGTTGTTTGATATCCCCGGTGTGGCTGCGCTTGATGTGCATATTGACAAGGTGCCTACCTGTCTATTACCCACTAACTCGTCCATACTGGCTCTAGGAGACAGTTGGTCGTTGCTGGAGGGGACGGGGTGCACGGTTCTTGTGGCCGTGTTAGGATCAAAGAGTGGTTCCCTGCACTCAGTGTGGAGCGGACTACGGTCCAGCCACCGCCTTGTGTGCGCTTGATTCCCAAATACAGCGTGCTTGTGTTTGCCTGTGAAGGAGTGTGGGCCGGCTACGTTGATGAAACGTGGTTCCCATCCACATGCCTCCCGGTCTTATTCCTTCGGGTTTACACTGGATATGGGGTGTGGTTGGAGCTGTGGGTGGTGCAGCGCAAGCCACCTATGGTCCCTCTGTAGGCGCAGGCGTCCTGTGGCTGGCCACAGTGACAGGCAAATCCGAAACCGGATGCCGCCAACCATCTGTTGCAACTAGTGAGATCGTGTATTGATTCTGTTTGGTATTCCTGAACTTGAAAAAGCTGATTAGTTCACGGTTTTTATATTGGGTGTAGAGGGCTCGTTTTCTATCAGCGATCTTTTTGTTGTGCTATGCCATCTGTAGAGCCGTGGTCAGCTGTTGGTGTTGTACCAAGAAGTCATTTGTTTTACGATATGCCATTACCGACTTTTTGCGATTTATGGTTATCTTACTTGACGTATGCGTTTTGTTCTTTTGGGGAAAATGTCAATGCACAGTGAAAGCGAATGTATCAATACATATATCAATGTTGTTGTAAAGAATATTTACTACTGCTTGTGAGTCTCCAGTGAGGAAAAAGCTCTCCCACTAACGGCTTTATATTTCCTGGTATGTGTTCGAAATTTAGGCACAGCCGATGTTTAGTATCATGTGAATAAAAATGATTCTACTCTGTGATCACTACCAGGAAAGTGCTCTAGAACTTCGGAGGATGCTGAGAATATGCCAATGGTGAACATTAGGTCTATGTTCCTTTCTAGTTGGAGATCTGACACGTTGGATCCACCCGTATGAATGTAGTAAAGAGATCATATTTATGTATATGGCTTGAGATCCACGCTAAATGCGGCAAATTGAAGCCGTAACTGTTCTCCTGGATTTAATTTATGTAGCAACAACACTTTCGTCTTTGTTTTGACTCATAATGTGAATATAGTCGAGTATATACGTGGAATCTGGGGAGTTTATCATTGTTTACCATAAGCCTTTTGAAATTTCGTGTTCAAAATTATCATGCCATTTTTAGCGTGGAGGAATGGCCCTTTCCCCCATATTTTTGCTTTCACAAAGAATAACCCATCTCCCAAAAGCGGGCAGAAATATTCTGGCTTTATTTTTCTCGAAGTCGTGGATCGCAACTGATGCTGGCATCTTGACAGCCCTTGACACTCGAAGCAAAAGCGCAAGGATAGAATCCTCCATTAAATTGTACCTGAAGCGTGCGCATGCACACGGTAATTCGAGGGCAAATAAACCGAAAACGTTGTAGAATGCCTGGTTGAATCTGAAAGAGAAGAGTTTGAAAGGGGACGTAAATACTTAGCTCAAATTATTGGGGAAGATCCATCGACGTTCGACCAAGAGAAGATCGATGACGCTATCAAATACTTGTTCCCATCTGCTCTCTTCAGCCCAAAAGCGAGACCTAAGCTAAAAGTGGGCTTCCTACATCGTTCACTATCTTTTTTAGCCTCCCGAAGAAATATTTCCTAAGAAAAGACGTAAGTTTCTTACCTGTCCAAAGGACCCTTCTCAGAGTTACAATGCGATTCCACTGGAAGACCTCTGCATACATTGTTTTACACGACAAGCCCTAACTTCTACACTGTAATGAACGTAAGTCTTTTAGTGTTACTGTGTTGTTTCGTATGTAAGGAGGCAGCGTACCAGTTGGAATCCCTGAAGCGTGAACACGATCGCCTGTACATCACTAAAGATGCTAATCCCTACAAAGGACTTACACCGCTGTGAGTGCACTCGGCTTTGCGTGCTTTTGTTACACTTCCATTACGTTCGCTTTTACCGGCCTTTGATATACCATTCTGACCACCTTGTCAAATTTACCAACAGACTACTGTCCTTGTTGTTTGCCGCCTTTTGTCCGCTACAGTCGTAACAGAGTAGTACTTAGCTAAGGTCTTTGTCACGCACCAAAACAGGGTGATGCAGTCCATGACTGATGTTTCGTCAAGGTGTTAAAGCCACATAGGCGATACAGTTGAATGAATCAGTTAATAGCAAGCTCACTTTCACCCTAATAGAGGATGCGTTGGTCTCATTTTAATGTTCGCCCGGTGCTTCCACATCGCTATATTTACAGACGGTTCGTCAACGTAGTCTTCCTTCAATTGAACTCCGTCTTTGATTCGGTTGCACTCGTCACTTTGTGATAGGCGTTGGCTTTGAAGGTCACGCACAAGAAATTTCGTTCTATCCTTCAATCTCTATATCACGACTGTCGGGGCCGTGCGAGAGTCCATAGGAACATCCTCGGGCTCATCAAAACGAGTGCAGTGTATAAGAGCTACAGTAAAATCTCTCAAGGGACTGGACCAAAGTGGTCAACATATGGAGGTCCTACACAAAAACTTAGCGTACCTTACTTTCTCGTTGTGAGTAGTATTCTATAAAATTTATTTTCACCTACAACGTGTTGAATATATTAGATGAGCTCTTACATAAAGGCAAATAGAGTTCATTCATACAGTGTTAAATTAAATCAAAACGCAGTATGTGTTCCTAAGTTAAATAGTTTTTTAAAAGAAAAAGTCCATCTTTGTCCCTCTTATCACAAACTTAACTGAAGAAATCTGTCTCAGCACAAGTTACACTACTAACCATGATTGGTCACTTTTCCACAGAAAATGACTTCATTTACATTAAAAGGTGCCTGATACATCATCCTCTTTTTGAGTTTTGTGGTTTCCATGTCATCTAAATCTCTTTCATCATCATATCTCTCCAAGTACTCACGGTTATGCTGTTTGATGTTTCTAACTGTTGTCTTACTAACAGCTAAATATTCTGTCGTCTTTCTTTGGCAGCTGCTATTCATAAAATGTAGCAGATTGATGTTCTCCTTCAATGTAAACTTTCCACTGCGATACGCGTAACAGCCGATCACAAATTGTTCAAAGCACAGAATCCAAGACCTAGGGTGCTATATACAGAACATTTATTACATACAGTAGCAAACCTTGGTTGTTTGCACTCTCAGGTAGAAGATAAATATCGCAGGATAGGCGCTCAACGATCAGTGTGGACATAGACGTCAGTATCCCCACAATCCAAGAGGCTAATGAACGCGTGTTGAACAGGTTTGCTGAACCGGTTAATGGAGGAACATTTATTTTTGGCAAAGGCATGTATGGCTCGAGAAATGAGCGGTACAGCAATTGCTAAGATAGGACAAATGCCTCGGCATAATATTAGGACAATGGCTCAATAAAAGCTCGAGGAACTCGGTCAAGGGTCGCACACCCAGTACCTGTCTGTGATTGTGTTTTCATAATGATTGTGTTTGGTGGGCTGCACCTCGCATATAAACATCATGCCCACGTATGGTTCTTCTGATGGTGGAGATGCACAGATTGGAAATATCCAAGGTTGAGAGACTCAATAATAACATATGTTTGGCTGACGCAGAATGGATATATCTTCTATTTTTAATATGAGCGGGCAATGCACAATAGAGGAGGTTGCCGAGAGTGCTGTTTGTGCGTAGTTCCTGATGCCTACTGCGTGATAACGGACGTCATATTCATCAAATTTGTTTTGGTAAGACTGCCATCCGGTGTGCGTCACAGACAGCAATATCCATCACAAAGATAGTAGCGTCCCAGTTGACGAGGAGATCTGACTTGATATAGGTTGTTAGCGTGGGGTTGCGTGGTTCTGACATAGCATTGTTGCAACTTGATTGGCAATGTCATTGTGTCGTTTGCAGCGTGTGTTATGGGCTACGCTGCAAGATTGTAGCACGTGCGAGATGGACTCGTGTTGCTCACATGAACCGCTGCAATTGTGATCGGATGGGGAACGCAGTGGTCTACTTTTGGCGCGTCTGACTTTTATAGGAAGGACACCTGCGCGTAATTGAGTTTACCCCATAAATAGGCGCGGGAAGACGCGTGCAGGTCGCCGGAGCCATTTATGAGCAACCAGATGCGTTGCAGCTTGACCTAGAGGGTGATCCGTCAAGAGTAGTAAGTAGCTGTGTCTTCCATACCTCTTCTGCCTTGGCTTTATCCATCATAGTTTGCCCACCCACGATGAGTGGCGAATTAGCTAGCCGATGTATCTCTGAATTGTAGGAGTTACGATTAGCCCAGCTCAGAATGGCATTCGGGTTAGGTGTCGCTCCGATCTATCTTTCCGAAGTGACGGCAACATGGTAAAGAGACTGAATGCCTAAGGCGTGGTCATTGATGGATGCGTGGAAAAAGGCAACGGCTGTATCCTTGGGTGATCTTAGCCATTTGCAAACGTTGGTCCTGATTAACTTGTCCATCGTTTTGAAGGTATATCGATGTGTTACTGCCACCGAGAAGCTGTTGATGTGTCGTGGGATGATGAAAATCCTGAGAATCTCAATCCCTTGGTGAGGTGTTGGCGCAACTCATTCTTTCGTAATTCGATAGAGTTGTACAAAAACCTTTCTACTTGCTCTTAAATACAGTCTCAGGTAGGGAGGTGTTAGCTTGCCTTGCCAGTTAAAAGCCAACCCCAGAAATTTAAATGATTCCGTCGATTGTATTGTTAGTTGGTTCATCGACCCTACTTGAAGATTTGAGGTATACAGTAACGCTTGCTTCTTGGATCTGTCGATGACGATATTTATGGTTTCCGTTTTCATTTGGTTTATAGGAAAGCCAATAAGCTGGAGGTCGTTGTTAAAAGTCAGGAGTCGTTCCTGTAGCGCGTCCTTGTTTTCCGCTACGATGATCACGTCGTCCGCGTATGCAATACAATCGACCGAGCCTGCGATGCACGTCCGGCGACAGAAGGCAGGCTTTTGAAGGGTTTTATCGAGCGTCGTGATGAAATTTAGGGATGAAAGTGGGTCCCCTTCTCTAACGCATCGCTCTGGTTATATTCGCGCCTCCTGGGACGTTGATATCCCCGAGAAATAGTAAGAAGACAGGTAATCAATAAAAAAGTTAGGGGCTCCAAACGTGAATGTAGCTCTATTTAGGGAGTCGTAAGAGATGAAATCAAAGGCCTTTGAAATGTCCACAGAGGCGAGAGAGAGAGGGGGAGCAGTGGGAATGAGGGGAGCGAATCGTGGAATAGAGCCTCAAAGCATCCATCTTTCCGGAGAAAACCGAATTGTAGGCGGTCGGATGGAAAGGAGGAGATCCAGTGCTCAGAATGAATTCGCTACATAAGGCGAGTGAAAACGGAGGTCACAGATATTGGGCGGAAATGTTCGGGAAGCATGAGGAGACGGGATCTTTTAGGTGAAGATAACTAGCCACATCAAAATGTGAGGGTATGGGTAAGAGGCAAGAATGCAGTTCGGAAAAGACGTAACGAAGTGGGGATCCATGCGTTCAACGTTTTTCGGTGTGCTGACGTCGATGCCAGACGCTGAAACAACCATCTAATGTAGCGATGAGCGAAATTCCGATACCGAGATGGGTGCAACAAAATCAAGGTTAGACGAGACGGCCACGCGTACGGATCGACAGTCAGGCGCTGGTGGCTGTGAGAATACCGCTGTCCAATATTCGATGTAGCCAGGGATTCGTTCATCTTGTAGATAGGAGGTCTGCCATCGAGCACCGTTGCCGCCGCGTCCCGACGTCTAAGATAATAAAAACGTTGGATGTGACCGGACTGGGGTTTACGTCGTTCTGAACGTTTTTGGGGTGATTGGGCGGTTTGAGTGGCTTCCAAGTATGAGGAAACCACGTCTGACAAAGTTTGTCGAGGCGCGTACTGAATTTGTGTCGAGAACGGTCGGTGAGAGTTTTCTAAGAGATTTCGAAGCTCAGTGACCCGTGCTTGTGTTAAATCTGCACATAGCAAGAGTAGGCGTTGTGGATCGTCCAGGTGCTGATATCTGAGTCACCCTTGACAGGCTTGGTAGATTCTCCGTGAGTGAGTGAAGTTGGTACGATTCGAGTAGTCGTGGTGCACGCGGCTCTCGTCCTGGAGGCGTGATCAAGTGAGCTTCTGTCGGACGCGTCCAAATCAACTTCGAGGCGCTGACGGAAATAGGTTGTTAAGTTCTCAGACGATGATGATAACGACAATGTTGGCAATGTGGTGACGCGTCTGGGCATCTGATGGTCAAGGGATAGTGCGCCTTGTCCCGTGGTTGTGGAGGCATGTGGATCATGGCTAGGTATGGTCTGCGTTGTAGGCGCAGATCCGGTTTCATGGAGTTCCGAGTGTAGAACTTAGGCGTTTTCTAATACTCTTCGCAAATCAGGCAGGGAAGTACCGTTGTAGGCGATTGGCTAAGTCGTTGAGACAACTGGCACTCGACCTGATCATCGGCGTTATTAAGCAGGTTCGCATCCTCCAAGACCGTCAAATTAAACGGGTGAGCCGGCAAATGCTTCAGGTACTCTGCATTGTACTCGGTGGGTCGACAAAGTCTACGATATTTTGTAAAACTCCTCGTTGTACCGTAAACGTTCTTCTACAGGTGCGACAATTATATAAGGGATCATTATTAGCTTACCGCCATGAATCCAGCCGGACTTCGCTTGCGTGCCTCGAGGTGTCGTTTGACGCCTCGTCTAGTAAACTGCTTGGACATGCTATGGACTCGCTGTGAAGCAAGCGACGCTGATGTAGGATTCTGCGCCCTATCTAGTGATTCACAATTGACAAACATTGGGGACATCCCAGGGACGACTGTTTATGATTTAGAAACTGTCTGCCGGTGTTAGTGAGTTTAGAGTCAATTGGATAGTAGGCGAATGCTAAAGCGAGGTGGATGGTTCTGGCGGGAATGCTGTGTCGTATTTAGTTTGTGGCGGCTGATGGTGTGCTGTAGAGCGGCGAGTTACTGGGAGTGCGGTCAAGCAGGCTGGAACTGGAAACGGCAGAGGCCGATCCGTTCGCTTGCTATGTATCAGAACCAACAGGTCCGCTGTCCTGGCGATACAGAACACAAAGCGGAGACAGGCCGAGACATGCGCAGCGGGCTGTTCATAGGCCCCACTCCACGGCTGGAGTGAGAGGCGGTAAGGAAATCTGTGATTCGTTACTAGGTTGTGGAAGGCGCTACATTCCTGGAGCAATTCCTCGGCGTCCTGCGAACTCTGGGCAGGGTTAACCAATTTAATCGTGGTTGTAACGGAGGCCATGTTAGGTGGACTGTCATCCATCGGTCTAGCCTCAGTAAATGTTTGGGGTGCGGTACACTGGGTACATTTAGTTTGGTTGTTTTGTTTGGCCTCTACTGTCTGAGTCGAACGATAATACGGAAAATGTGTTTAACAGCAGTGATTCGGATGGCCGTTTGTTTTCCAGTAAATTGGTAGTATTGGGTTTTATATCAGTGGTGGGCGGAAGTTCGGATAACGGGTGTTGACGACTGCCTTTTGGGCGCTCCCATTAGATAGGCACTCAAACACCTGACTACGACCTGTGTGATGCGTGGGAACATGTCCCAAAGGCTAGGCGTGATGCGTGCTTGTGTGAAGAAAGATTTCCCACAAAAGCGGTCCAGGTCAATTTGTGGACACGGATCTGTGGTGGTGTACGAGGTAAACATCGACGCGCATGAGCACTGAGAGGCGGGACAAAAGTACGCAAGCACATACACGGACAGAGAAAATGCTGTATCGTCAAACCTATGCGGAGCCGTAAAGCGGTGATTGCATTTTGGGGGAACTGGCACATTGCGAAACCCCTTTTACATACACATTATTATTTGAACAAAGGGTCGTTCGGTGACTACTGCACAGTAAACCTTACGGTCAACTTATAGAGGTTACATTAATAATGACCGTTATAGTCAAAGTAGTCAACATACAAAGTTGAATTTAGCGAACACGCTGTGTGGTTGGGTTGCGACTCGCAACCACCATTGAGACCTCGGTTCACTTTGAGGTAAACCTCGGTCATTCCGATCGTGTGTGCGCTAAATTCAACTTTGTATTGCTTTTCGCTGTGCCAAGTGTTGCTCGCGGATCTCAGTAGCATAGTGTTCAGAGCGTCAGCCGTGAACTACTAGGCTCTGAGTTCCACCCCAACTCAGGCTATCTCCACCTGAGGAGTCCAAACCAGGACGAAACCGCGGTCGTGGTGTGCCAGTGTTGGGAGGAGCAATACCCAAATAGTCAACATACAATTTACAGGGATCTGCTTCCATAAGGTTTACATGGTGACCATTCAAGCTAGGGAAAAAAGGCCAACCTATAGAGGTGGTCAACTTCGGACGTTCTAGTGTGTATATGTCCGCCCTCACCAGAAAAGTCTCTTCAACTACTAGTAACCCAGATTGTGTTGGGGAGCGTCATCAAGTCAAGTCTCAAAATAAGATGGGTACATTTTCAGCAATTTACAGTATCGACTACGGATGGGCTGAAATTACATTATCAGAACTTTAGATTTGTATGAATGGAAAAAGTACACTGTGTACATGTGTCGGTTGAGTATACGGTCAATATAAACGAGCAACAATTAAACATTTCCGGATAGAATAATCTAAAGCTGCTTTCTCTTGGGAGGCTAGTGTTGCAAGTTAGATTTCCAATTGAGACGGTCTATCTTCAACTGCGCAGTTTCTTGAGTTTTTTTTCACAAAAAGTAGATGAAGGACAGCATTGTCAACCTTGGAAACAGTTTAACAAAAGTCAAAGTTGAAGTATTCCGATAAAACTAATGTGTCCATAGCGGTATTGTAAAAACGATGTTCAGTGAAAACGGCACGACCGATTTAAAGGTCCCACCTACGGCATGAGCTGCGCCCTTAGTAACACGTAAAGCTGCAACAAAGCGGAGCCTCAGCTTCAAACTGTTCTACGTTTCACTGTCGATCACGCGATAATGGAGCGTTTCTAAGTTATGGAGTATGCGAGGTTCGAACATGATTAACCTCACTTTCTCACGTCACAGAATTTTGTTATTGTCATCAAATATAATGCCCCTTTTCTTTATCCATTCATCTATGTTCACGACTACGCTCCTTGAGTCCTCAGCAGCTTCACTGCAACCACATCCTAAGTATTGAGCTCGCGTAGGTGCATGCATTGTTTGAGCTCATGTCTCTGCGGGGCAATGCTCATATCGAGCGGTGCCGATCGGTTTATTGCGTCAGATCAACAAGTAAGACTGAATAACTTCGAACCACTTGTGGTGCTCCGAAGTTCGCCGTGGTTAGTTCACTGAATACAGGACACTTCGAGAAAGATGGCTGAAAATGAGACCATTGACCAACATACTCGGTGCTGTTGGTCAGTCTCGCTTTGTACGATGGAGCTCGCGCGGCCCAGTCTGACTTACTCGAGGCATCAACTGCACATGATAAGCAACCGTCGTCAGTCTGCCTGCTGTTGGCCCTAGGCAGGATTATCTATTGAACTTGTGTAGGGTGCTAAGTTATCTGTTATTAAGGTTGCTTATGACACTTCATATATCGACGGCTTGTTTTGACCGTACGGTCTCCGCAAGGCCTTGTTCTCTTGACTACAAATGTGCATAGTACAGTGTATAGTCTGGTTTTTCATTCGCTATATCTGTATATTACCGTAGCGTACGCGCAAAAAATCGCCGTGTTGCATAGCATGACTATGGTGGTAACGGTTGGATAGATCCAACTTTGTTCGCTATACACGACGCTCTCCGGTAATTAATGAGCACATATATCTCGGAAGAGTGGTGCTTTACACCTCACCAAAGATGGAAAATATGAAAGGATGCGCAAACCACACCGCCTAATTACGGAAAAACTGCTTCTTATTTTTATTGAAATCCTTTTCAGTGTCTTGGCCTCAACAGACTGGTTTACCAAAAAGCAATTTGAAGATTCCATAGAAGAAGGCGTAACAAATGAGAAGGTGAACGCGCTCCGCTTCTTAAGTCGACGCAATTTCAGTTTGAACAATGGCTTTTACTGATGAATCGGATTGCATCCCATCCCCTCAACAGCCTGGCAAAAGAATTCATTTTCCGTTTTCGTGTTGGACAGTACATTACAGATGTCAAGGAAATTTACCCAGAGGTAAACTCGATTCTGATAGCCGAACTGTTTCTCAGCCCTCGTTAGATCCAGACACCGGTCGGCAGTTTATCAAATCTTATGGACAGAAGAGACATTCATTTGCCGAAGCCACCGTGTACCTTCCTGGTCACGGCGAATTCCGTGTGGGTGACAAGCGACTGTTAGAGGCTTTTCCCGATCTGAGTAACCGAGAGCAAATCATGTTTCCATTACAACTAACAGGTGAATTTATCATTCCCTCAATCTCATCCGCTTGTATCGCATACCCACACGCAATAGCTAACTGGAGACTTTTTAGGAACTTGATGGCATTGCGATTCCTCTATGCACCAGGTTCTTCACGAGTAGATTGCACCAACCTGCGTCACCCCGCTCGCAGGTTCGACAACATCGCAATTAATGCTGGTAACCAGTTGCCTGACTCATTAGCTTTCACTATCCACTAACGAAAGTGAGCAGACATTTTTCGATGGGCAGTCCAGCTTCTATAAAACCAAAACGTTGCAAGTTATCGTACTTATCGATCCAGGACCGTTATGGCTCTGATCACACCCTGCATCGCGACAACAAATGGTACTCATGCGACCAAACAAACAGGGAAACGAACCAATACACCACGGACAAGGGCACATTATTAAGTCCAGTTCAGGTAATCAACCGCGCGTCAAAGTACGCTGTGGCTCACGTCGACAAAATAATTGCAGAGAGATGAGCGAGGACTAAAGTTGTCAAATTGAGAAATTAGGAATCCGAGACAGGAAAGCGAGTGGTTGAGTCGCATCCAAGCGTTAAAATGGGTGCAGTCCATGTATATCGCTTAGGTGTGGACGCTCTGATCACGTGTTCGCTTAGGACATTTATACCGTGCAGTAGGCCTTCTTCATTAGTACCGACAAACTACTTTTACCGTTTTTGTCAATGCACACGCATAGTGTATGGTATCTGATGTTGCACATGCTTCAACCATACGTGGTCTATGACGCATTGTGCACGCCGATTTCGGCCCGTTAGACTTCTTGCACCACAGCGGCATTGACTAATGCAACGTGAGGATGAAGGTCCTCAGAAAGCTATCTAATGATGTAATGGTATTAAAAGAGTTCCCTAGTAAGTCACCAGCAAATATGGATCAATGTGTGCATACAATGAGTCACCTTCATTCTGCCGCAGAGTGCAGAAATACATTTGAGCGGTTTGTACGTCTTTACTTTTATCATACAGGCGCTCTGGGTAAGGTAGATGTTATCGCCGAAGTAACTGCGACAGGACCAAGTTCAGCAGCTAATTCTCTTCGTCTTGCTATATCTCGATGTCTGGCATCACTGTTGCCCGAGCAACAGGGCAGGCAGCGACTACGTGTCGCAGGTCTGTTGACTCAAGATGAAAGGTTTGCCGAGAGAAAAAACCCCGGACAGAAAAAAGCTCGCAAGAAAACAATTTGGTGAGTTAAAATTTAGAGTTATTTATTCTCTATCCCTCTCAATTAAAATTAGTCAGGTTAAGTTGTTGGGGGCCATCTGTAGTCTAGTTTATTTTAGGTCCATTTAATGAATAGTGCGCAAATTGACTAACTATCAGTCCGTTTGCTGCTTGATGGCGATCTTAAGAGGATTGGATTTGTGAATCGGCGGTGTCACTTTAGCTTTATCCACGCTAGCCTGATTCTCGACTGACATTGCACGTTACAATGTTAACGCACATCGCACTGCTAAACGTCGAGATAAACAAAATATTTCTTCCTTTTCAGGAAAGCCCGGTAGTTTCGTGGAGCCGTTCCTATGTATATAACATGTATCAATTTAGAACAATAAATGTGTGCTCATGATTATATTCTCGCAGTACTAAGGGGCTCATTTGGGTTGATTCAGTAACATCCCGAGGTCTTGGAGGTTTTTGTCTCCAGTTCCAACATCTGAAACAAAATCGAAATGCGAGGTGAAGATTCCTTTTGCCCAACTAAAGCATTGACCACATGCAATTATTTAGTGCACCAAATACTATAATATCACCTCGTGAACTTACCCGCTTTGCATAACCCGGGCTTTCGACCAGTTGATCGGATACCTCCATCAAGTGCTTCTCAAGAGCCACACACTCCTCCATCTGATTTGTTGGAAGAATCGTTGATAAACCGTATGAAAACGTATGATAGGGAAACAATTGCAAAACTACCCACCAAGAGGGCACAAACTAAGTCAAGCTCTGTTTACAATTATGATTACTCCCATCTGAAGTGGGCGATGAACGTATCCCATGACACGATCAAAATGGCGAATCTGTTTCAAATAAGTGGCTTCTATGTAGTAAACTAGCTTAGAGATTCAACTTTGTCGCGGGTGCTAGGACGTCCTAACCAATGGGATTCTAGCTTAGGCCGATCCAGCCACTATTTCGACGGGTGAAATTCGTCTATCCATCTGACCAAAGCGCTAATTGTGATGCTTGTGAGTGTGAGGAATGGATGCCAAGGCAGAAGGTAAGCCCGTCGCAAACGTAGTTCAATGTATAGATCAGATCACGTCTGTGAATCTGGGGTGTTAATAAACGGAGCTAAGAAGAGAATCACATACCTTTTTTTGCAGATTCAGAAACATTTCCATCGAACAGTATTGCTCGGTATCATCTAAGAAGTAAACCGTTCCATCTCGTTGATCAATTCGAGCGAAAATGGCCTTGGATGCGATCTGTGCAAAAATAAAACGAACTTGATAGGGTTAGATCGGACATTCACATGGAGTTAAAAGTTTTGGGCTTTACAGTATTAGCAAAAGTGGAACCGAATATAGCCGATATAATCACTAACCATTTCAACCAGATATCGTTCTGCTTCTTGAGGGCCTGATAGCTTCACGCGATTGGCAACATCGGATAGAGACATGGTCATGAAGGTCTGACGAGCGAAAAGGAAGAAAACATGCATCAGGTACACTTGACACGTATGTAGCTCAAAGGCAAAAAGCTCCATTGTTCAACCAAGGGGCTCACCTTCGGAAGCAAATGTTCACGAGTATCTTCTATGGTAGCCTCGTTATGGACGATTTAATATGGCTACACCCAGTCCAAGGAGGAAGTGGCGGTTTCACTTTTATGGTGTAAAAATGTGGAAGCCAAGCGATTTTCAACGGTGTAAGAACGACGCATGCTGACCGATAACGTATGTGCACCTCGATCGGCAGATAAGTTGCAACGCTGAGAAGCTGTTAGCCCATCGATTCGAAGATTGCCAACAGGCTGACCCGTTTCCGACTTAGTGTCTAACATCGCATCGGACTCGATAAGTGCTATCCGTCTCTACACTGTTCGCTGAACCTGACATTTTTGCTGCAAATGTTTCGTCAATGAGTTCGGTTGGACTACCGACAATTGCCTCTATATCAGAGCTATCCGCTGCTTGCTACTCTACCACCAACTAGAAGCCGTAACAACCATAGCAAAACCGTCTACATTTCCACAGGTTCATTACACAGCGCAACATCAATCGTTAGAAGATAAACCAAGGATGAATGTTAACGGCTTTCAGGAGATCTTAGCCGGATTGAGATCATAGTTCTTGGGATATATCGGTATATCGCCGCAGACAGTTGATTTCAAGAATGAGGACACGGTGGCCCAAAGCAACCTTAATTATCTTGCTGTTTTTGGAGTACATGTTAGGCATGGGGACGGAAGCAGTGAACGAAATTCTAGCTCGAAATAAAAAGTCTTTGAGTATCACCGACTCATATAAACTCATTGATGAGGATTTGCAGGCCATTGCGTCTCCGTGATTACCGATGGAAAAATACCCTCAACTTTACCACTTACAATAACGGTAGAATAGGGCGTCCTTCGACGCAATGGATATGCACACCGGGATTTTCAATGATTAGAAGAAAGCTGACTGCAGCACTAAGGGTCGTTGGAAATGCTGGTTTCCTGGTAGAGAACCTCGGGATCAGTAGGGTGATACCCTAATCTGTATGATTCAGTCGCGAATTCAACTCTGCTTTTGCATTCGTTCACTTGCGTATGGCTCAACTCGTTAAACGACTGCATATTTCTGATCCCCTTGATACTTTTCGTCTTATGCTCGTCCATATTTTGACCCTCCCTCAGCTCCGCCCCATAGACGGCGTGAGTGAAGGAAACTGCATTTTCCGCATGGTTGATCATATAAACTGAGCGAATATTCTGGGTCCTGTTTCTAATGTCCGTGACGTTTTTCAACATATAAGCCGCCTACAGACATTGGAATATCAGCTTGTCGATTGGACCAGCTAGTGCTGCGCAAATGGGAAGCATCTAACCACCTCCGCATTGTTTGTTCGGGTAAGAGCTTCAAAGAATGGCACTGCAAGCCGATGTTTGGTACCAAATCATATAGCACCGTATTGAATTTGAGTCGTTTACTCTCGTTAGATCACATTCCTCGCATGTATGACAACCTAGACTTATTTGAACTCTTTGAACCGATCGATGGGTCATGATTTCAGGTTTTGGAGGTAATTAAGGTTGGTTGTCAGTACTGTGTCTAAAAGGATAGAGGCTAGGAGGGAACCTGAAGCACTGGCGCAGCTGCATTTGCATTTGAAAGCTATCCATTAAGGCTCGATTGAGAAGTCGGTCGTACCCCCAACTTCTAACTGATAATCCATTTAGCCAACAATTGCTGTGTGTATCGATCATTTATTAACACATGTTCTTTTCGTTATCCCTTTCTAACACTTAATGGCATCAGATATTTTGAAAAATACCACGAGGCGAATGCGGCTACAGTATCTTGGTCATCGCACAACAACCGATAAATAGATGCTGCCCAGGGAACATAACTCGAGGAGAATATGTTCGGATTACCCGATGTTGGGTAATGAGAGGGGGAGCTGATGTCTCTGATTGGGTTCTGTTGCTTTGTCTTACTTTCCAAAGAGGGATCCAGATGACCCACTTTATGTTTGTCTCAAAGCACTAGAGGATATGGCTCGCAACAGGCACTAGTGACGCGTTTGTGATCGTCTTTTGGCCGAACTGTTTGTTTAGTGCAAGGTGCTGTATTATTTGTTGGGCACAGCAGTTTATTTCAATATGGCAAGAAAGAACAACAGTTCTACAAGATAATCTGAATTCAGCTATTTCTCGTCATCTGTTTACATACAATTCGTGGAATGGTAGGACAAACAAGGTCTAACGTCATCGGTAAATCGATGGCGATCGAAATTCGTCAGACGCTAGCCGGCATTACGCTTAGAGATCACACCTCAACAAGGCAGGGGAAGACTGGTAACGAACTCGATTTGTTTACAGAGAGTGGATTTTAGCCGCGACGAAGTGAAAGCCCCAACGGGGCTGCTTTACTGATGTCACCTTGTATGTATGCGATAACCAGCTGTCTGTGACCGTGTTGTGATGGCAAGGTGTGGGCGCCGTGAGCGCAGATGTTTCATTAGAGTGTCAATGCTCGGTTTATAGGTAGGGCCATTCCTCGTACTTTGATGGTAAGCCATCAGCAGTATGCCGCACCGATGCTTCGTTGCAACGCGACCACCACCATTATAGCCGCGCGCTGGCTAGAGATACTGCGAGGCCTACGTAGATTCGAGCCGATAACGTTCGCGTTACAACAAGGCAGCCGCTTCATCCCTTCGGCCATCAGCCGACTTGTATAATGCTGATTATGATCAGCCTTTTGCGTAGAATAGGGTGGGGTTGAAACACGATGATGTAACAAACATCAATGGCTTCGCATGTTGGATTTTTAGCCTATCCCATTTTTAATGTTTTTTTTTCCTGTGTCATACCTAGCTCGGGTTGACGATTCAGTCGTTCATTTGTTCGCCGAACTTGGCAGGTTGTTGCTGACGTTTCACTCTCTCGCATGGTGGTGAAACGTTGACAAGACACCTGCCATGCTCAGCGAACAAATAAACAACAATCATATATATCTTGTAGAGTGAGTGTGGCCCCAAAAACGCCCATAAAATGATCGTGTACTTCGGGTGATATTTATGAAGAATCGTACAAGTTATCCACTATTCGCACCATGGTGGACATTTTGGTAATCAAAAGATGCTCTTGACAGTCGTATGCGTCTCGCCGTTCTAGTTGTTAGCTAAGCGGTTGAGGTACAACAAGGAGTTGCACAACTAGGTCACACAAATCAGCCAAACATATCGATATGCTAAGTTAAATTACGGCTCGGACACTGTGACGCACACAGTGCAGTGGCTCGAGTCGTAGCCTTGTAAAGAGACCGTTATGAGTTCGGATCTCACAGCTCTTCCAGCTTATTCGATCCATTGGCCCCAGAAAGCCTGGTGTCAGTGAGACTATATACGAAGCGGATGGTTCGCCGATTGCCAACTTACAGCGACGCTTGGACCGATGGGCCGAACATTTTCATTTCCAGTTCAATTGGCCCTCACTGTCCACTTATATCCCCTGGGAACCCAGCTGCCCGCCCACTCAGCGAAGCGGAAGTTTGTCTTGCGACTCGACACGTAAGACGATTCAAGGATACCGGCTCAGACGAACTCTCTGCGGAGCTGTTCAAATATGGAGGCTCAGTTATCATTAGCCAGCTAACCTCATTGTCTTCCAAAATCTGGCATGAAGAAAAGGTGCCTTCTTCCCGAGGCGAGTCAATTATTGTCCCGGTTTTTAAGAAGGTGCTCGCACTTCATTTCGGTTGCCTCCGAGCTATCGGCATCCATTCTACTCCGTAGACTATCTCCCATTCGCGAATCGCAGTACCGGGAAGAACAAGCTGGCTTCCGACCTGGCCGCGGGTGTGTGGATCACATATTCACACTCCGTCAAATCCTGGAACACCGCCACCTTTACCAGAGTCCTACCATCGTTGCATTCCTGGACATCCGTGCCGCATTCGACTCGGTTGATCGACCTGCACTATGGCGTTGTGTGCTAAGGAACGATCTCTCGGAAAAGTACACTGCTATCCTACGCGCACTGTATTTCCACATCCCTAGTAGAGTGAGGGTGTATGGCAAGCTTTCGTCGTCCTTCGCTGTCAATAGCGGTGTACGACAAGGCTGCCCTATGTCCCCGTTCCTCTTCAATTTTGCGATTGAAGACATCCTGTCGAGAGCTCTAGACGGTTGCCAAAATTTTGGTATACAGCTATTACCGGGCAAGCGAGCAACCGACTTAGATTATGCCGATGATATCGTCTTACAGAGCATGCAAACCATCCTAGACCGTTTGGCGATTGAGGCATCTAGGTACGGAATGTGTTTTGCCCCGTCAATGTGTAAAGTGCTGCTTCAGGATTGGTACTCAATATTTCGCTCAATATTTAAGGTACACAGTTTGAACAAGTGGATAGCTTTGTCTGCCTGGGCAGCTGTGTCTGCTGGTGGTACCATTGGTAAGGAAGTTTCTCTTCGCATCGCCAAAGCTCGGTTGGCATTTGTCAACCTGCAGCACTTGTGGCGTCATCGGGATGTCTCCCTCTTGGTAAAGGGTCGTGTTTACAATGCCACCGTTCGGGCGGTGTTGCTATATGGAAGCGAGTCATGGTCAGTTCGCGTAGACGATATGCGGCAGCTCTCGACAACAGGTGATTGAGAAGGATTGCTCGCGTGTGGTGGCAATGACACAACTACAACAGTGAAGTCACACGTGTCTTAGGGAAAGCGAGTATTCCCCTCAACAAGCTGGTTTTCCTGCGCCGGTTAAGATGGCTCGGTCAGGTCCTGCGTATGTCAGCTGAGCATTTGCCCTATCGCGCTCTGTTTACTCGTGCAGGACTCAGCTGGAAGAGACTACGCGGTGGTCCACCATCCACTAAGCTATAGCAAATGAAATTGTTGATTTCACGTCTTGCCACCATTGGATCCACACGTCTGCCTGGTTGGGAATCAAAGGACGAGGAGTGCCGATGGTTGGAAACAATTCAGGATATGGCTAATAATCGGAACCAACAGAGGATCTGTGTACATAATTGTTTAGATTTGGATGCTTAATGCTTACCGACTAAGGACAAAAAAATTTAAAAAGACGGCTTGCGCAAAATAACAAAAAATGCTTCCTTTTCGTCTTTTATTGCGGCATAATAGCTGAAGTGTGTTGCTCACCTTTAGTTAATGTGCCATGATGCTGATACGGTGTTCAACCTATCTTCTTTTAGTGATTTCCATGGTTATGTTTGGCTTTATAACTATTTGATAGGCTGCTGACTATACTATTACTACTACTGCTCCCACAGCATATGGGGAAGGTACGTAAGGGTTACGAATCCTAGCTGAGTCAATACGCCTTTCTGTATGTGGCAATGTCTAACAGAATCTAGATGTCACCTCGGAATAATTTTCAGCTCGCTACTACTCTCCTGAAATTAGTTTATGCACGACGACGATGGATTTTTGAGTGAGGAGAGGGAAAACTTGGTGGTCGCTGGGTTTGTTTTCTCGTCAAGGCATCAGCAGTACGCCGGTGCACAGTACCGACGCTTCGTTGTCGCGCAACTGCCACCAATCGCACGTGAGCTAAGGATACTGCGAGAGGCGCCCGGTCCCTACGTAGACTCGAACCCGCGTCCTCAGATTACAAACCAGGTTTGTGATCCTTAGGCCCGGCTGTTATCCCGTAAGGATTCGTGTAAACGCTAGCAAGCTTGTTCGTCACCGCAACTAAAAGTTTTCAGATTACGATATTATCATTTTCTGACTGTTTCACAGCAATGATGTTTATCAGTCGGAGCAAACAGGATGCAGCGAAACAGCAGCAACACTTTAACAAGTGCATTTTGTGCAAGATTAATAATAGATTTTATTTTTATTGGCGAGAAGCAGATCTCAATGAATGACACTAGGAGGCCGGTATCGCTTGGTTTTGAACTCACCTTCGTCAGACTGTGGATTCGAAGTTTTATGTGGCTTTTCAAAACTTGTTTAACCAGGCCAAAGTTGTGATCCTATAAAATAGAGTTGATAAAAATTATTTTGGCAATTGTGACATAAACTCTAGGAGTCGCGTTGACCAGTGATGGCAAGTGTGCAACGGCCGCGAATCGCGTACAGATTGGAAAAATCATTTGATAGCTGCAAATTGTTAGTGAACCGTTTAGTTGCAATGTGCAATCGTACCACCGAGTCTGAAAATGTCGTTAATCCAAAAAGGTGTTTAAAGCTTGGTAACAACGATTCTCGATGAACCATGCAATTGGTAGATTAAAGGATCAAGACGAAAGCCTTACCTCGACGAACACATCGCGGTGTGCTGCCACTAAAGAGGCCAATGCCGCAGGATCTTGTTTCTGAAAGACTGATGCCAATGCCAAGTAAGGCTGACAATATCGCTGAAATAGATCACAAGATGGGGCAATTCGCAAATGTTAAGATGCTCGCCAACAAAACAAAAATGCGAGAATTAAATGTGGCCAATAAAAATTAACTGGTAGCATTTATGAAACAAAGCGTATGCACAGAAAGCTGCCGTAGTTAGTAGAAGAAACAAAACATTGAATTAGAGACTACTAGGGAAACGAAAAAGGCAAAAGCAGTATGCCGGTACGAAGTACCGGCGTTTTGCTGCCGTGCAACCACCACTAGTCGCGCGTAGGTCGCCCGGTCCCTTATGCAAACTGGAACCCGCGACCTCAGGATTACAAGGTATACCTACGATTCTTAACCCATTATTGCATACTATTGCATTTACACAGCATACCGGAAAACTGTCCGTCAACTTGCTTTCACAGTAATTCATGTTAAGAGTAAGCTTCCTTGATAGAACGGATATTTAAAGCTTATTTCGATTGCCTGTCGTTCTGTTTGACCGCAAAATCGTCTTTTGAACGCTGTCAGGAATTATTTGGAAGGAAATCAGCAAGCTTTCGCTTTAGGCTGCAGTAAAGGATCAAGGCCACGATTCCGACACATTACAAAAATTTTATTTTTATCTAGCTAAGTGTTATTTTGACCCTATTTTCATTTTACCATCATACCGGCCCGTAGCCCTAAAGGTCACAAATTTGCCTTGTAATCTGACGGTACAGGTTTGAGTCTACATAGGGGCAGGGCGACCCTCGCAGTAATTTTAGCCCACGTGCGAACGGTGGTGGTTGCGCAGCAACGATGCGTCGGCACTGCGTACCGGCGTAATGCTGATGCCCTCTTTTTACCATCATGATGTGTGACGAGGTACCCAGTGCACTTCTGTGCTATAACCAAACTGGTTGGTGTTAGTTTCATTTCATTTCCCGAAAGTGTCTCCTAGTTCATCTCAATTGTGGCATCACTGAGGCTATCTCATCGTGAAAAGCGGAATATGTGATGTAAACCTGAATACTTTGATTGACGGACAGGGTGGTTAGATGTATTCTGTTATTGCGTGCACACCATCGCTCATTTGCTAGGAGTGCAGCGGTCAAGTTCACTAACTTATCTATGCGACTCTGGCTAAAATCACCACGTTTCGTGCTAACTTTCCATCGCAGGCAGAATCAGTTAACGACTTTGGTACAAAAACGTATTGCGGGACTGTTATCTCTTATGTTTCTTGTGAAGAAACTAAAAACGCTCGCCTGATTGCATTGCTTCGCGTGATTTACAACACCCAATAACGGTGAGTCACAAGATATTCCGAAACGCTACTGGTCATGTATAATGTGAATAGAACCAGGGTCGAGTGTCCGATAACATTTTCAAGAAGGCGTCCCAGGGTCTCTGGAAGCGCTGGTGGAAAAAGCACTGAGTACATGTCTACAACATTGCATCTTGGAGCGCCATCCATTGTAACCACCGTTGTAGTTACAATGTTTGGTAAAAGCGCGATTCCATCGGTCAGAGTCAGTTGGATTGGCAGAGCAGTATGCTATCGGGCGCGTCCCCAGGTTGCAGATTGGGGAATGGCTTCCTTGTGGAGGTAACTGCAAATAAGTCTCGTCTGCCTTGCAGGCGAGATGAATAGGCAGTCGCGAACAATCAGCGGCAGCGTATCGGAGCGTAGGGAGTTCTTGGTTGGTCACCTGGTCCTCCATCAAATATCACAAGAGCCAGTATGGCACTGTGTCAACGCCAACGTTAGCGGCTATAGGGTCACTGACCACGCACTCCTGTACCCAGAGGTGTTATCTAATGGAGAGCGGATGAACAACCTTGTTTGCCACCGGCTTTTGTGTGGAATGCTAAAGAACACATAGAAGGCGAATGAGCCACCAGCGTGTAAATGGTCGTCGTGAATCGCCCCGCTGCCTTGTGGGTCAAATCTTTATGACCAAAGGCTCGGAGTGGGGTCCCTTAAGTTAACTCCTTTCCTCGGCAACCAGGAAGATCTCTGCTCACACAACACAAACTTTCTGAACCTTGTTAACCCTCCCACTGACTACCTGTTTTTCCTAATTGTTGTTGGTAACCCTGTGTTGTGGCACTGTCAGTTGTATATTGCAAGTTGCGATATGGCATCAGGTCGTATCAACGTAATTGCGAAGCTGGTACCAATTTCGGAATCTATAGGTTGCTCATTAACTTGGATAGACAAGACAAAATGGTTTCTCCGCGGTGATATTGTGATTAAAAACGGTCGTTGTGTTTATCCAATTCCGGTTTAACTCCTCGGTGATTCGATTTGTAGTTGTAAGGTTTCCCTGCGCAACGGAATTTCATTTGGAAAGACAAATTTTCTGGATGTGTCCTCACTTCCCACAAAATCTGCATATCGAATGAAGATGCTGACAATCAGCTGGTGTTGAATGCTGTTTACCACAGCGATAACAGCGGAATTCTCTGCGTTGTACCGAGTGAGATAATGTGTTACCAGGTTTAGTCTGAGAGACTTTATGTACATCTTGCGAAATTGTCAGCTTAGGCGAGGAGAATGCCGTTAGTTCCTGAACGAGACTGGCACATTTCCGAACTATGTTCTTGTCTCTTTCCCAAGTCAATGTCTTATCGTCTTCCGATAACAGGCGCTCTCGTGCCTATTGTCAAGAACACCAACAATTAATGCTGGTAAAAGCATTGATTCTTCGAACTGGGTTGGCTTGATCTGGTTATAGGCACAGTCAGGAAGAGCAGCAGAGGGGGAAATAAACTCATTTACAGTTTCGTTCTGCTGCTGTGTTAAATTTGAAATGTTCTGTAAACACATGTGGCTTTTCACCCCACAGGCGATCAAGAGTGGAAACTAGCTTGTCAATTTTGTTTCGTATGTACCTGTAGGCTATCGAAATGTCGCTGCCCCTCGTTGCCCAAGAGGTGACGCAGTAATTTAATTTTTGATGCATCATTCATCGTACCGTTGTCACCAAGCAGAACAACTTGATCCACGTAATTAGTAAAGGTAGTTTTCCACTGCAGCCATTGTTGCGTAGTAGGCCTTTCCGTGGAAGAATTCCAAAACGGCTGAGGTGAGGTAATTACATTCGTCATGAGTGATCCCATCTCTGGCGCCAGTTTGTTACGCCAAGACGAAGTCTAAACACAGAGCTGTGTGGTAACACGGTTATTCACGTAAACGGCAGGTACCACTGTACACCAAAAAGAGAGCGCAAGGAATTTGAAGTCACATGTACACAGATACGCCCGGCCATATATATATATATATATATATATATATATATATATATATATATATATATATATATATATATATATAAAGCATGATGCAGGTGGTCGCATAATTTGTGGTACTGCATATAGCTATAAAAGGTACACAAGTAGAGCCCATCTCTTTCCCTTGATCATCATACAATATTTTTTCGTAGCCATGTAATGATCTACCGGAAACTCCCCATCGAGCATATTCTCACGGGTAGGTTTGTTAGGACTAATTTATTTGACATGTGATGGTGTTTCTGAGAATAACGAATACCTGACAAGGGTAAGAACGATACTACTCACGGATTTACTAAACTCCTATTTCCGGTGGGAAACCCTGCCCGACGTGGCGCAGTGCAGAAGTCAAGGTCACCATGTGGTTGTTTCTGTAACGAAAATTCTTGACGCATTCCAAACACTAATTTGATTGAGATAAGTGTCACCTTGACCCTATTTTCGCTTTAACATCATGATATGTGACGATGTACCTACCGCACTTCGGTGCTTTAATCGTACTTTGCTTCATTTCATGTCTCAAAACCATTATCTCCTCTTAATAGACGAAGTCCGGCAGGTACATGCATTTCGCGTCGTCACGTCAGTGGTAATTATGCACAAGCGTTTTGGAGTGCAAACATGCATACAAACAACGAATGCCCTGATCCTAAATCCAAGGCAGCTTGAGGCTGACCGCTAATTGCTTTTGAACGCAGAGCACCGGTTTGATCCGGCTTATCAAAACAGCCTCGGCGAACCGGAGGAGACGGGAATCAGTATGGCGCAACAGGATCCTGAACGCCGCGTTGACCTAGGTCGGATGACCCAAGGTCAACAAGGGTCTGCCGAAGATGCTGGCGCCTTGTGCGAACACGTCTGACTTGGGCAGCCTCGTACTGAACCTATTTCGGCACATGTTCATTCTGGAACTCAGGGTCCTAGCGGTTCTGCCTAGGTAACTGGCTCCGCTCTTACATACAGGCTGATATGTGAGTTGTTCACGATATGCTAAGTTTCCCTCAGTGGAGGCAGCGGCACCTTGTGAGTTCGGTCGATGGTGGCAACTTCGGCAGAGATCAGTTGCCTTGTAGTCCTCAGTGTGACACTGTCACCCTTAAAGGGCAACTCCAAGAATACTTATTTCTTAAGTACAGTGAGCCCCGGATGTCCCGTTCCGCTTATTTTGCTGCGCTTCTCGGTGAATCTCCGAGGAAAGCCGTTCGCAACTACCGTGTTAGTGATCAGCTTTAGTTCACCTGCCAGACAATCGGTCGAACGTATTCGTCTGACACTTCTGAAGATGTTTTAATCGATCGATGAAGTGAGATTGCGCGTCAGCCGGTTTGAAAGAATGGCTCATCCACGAAAGTCCCATTTCCACCTTCTGATCAGACTGCGCTGGTCGAGATCGACGGGACATCCGTTAAAGGAGGATATAAACCCAGCACAATCTTTTGCACTTCACCCTGAACAAAGTGCATGTGTGAAACGGACATGGATATAACAGTGCATATTCCCATCTAATATGTAGAGGGGACTAATTGAAAAAATCTAAATATTTTGATTTTCCTCTATGTGGGAATAGTCGCACGCATCGTCGAGAAATAAAAGATTTATTTATTTATTTAAATAAGGTCTTCACAAGCGTCCACTTGTACTGCATTGACGCGAATCTGGTAAAATACAAATACTAGCCGTTTTACCTGTCCGTCCTCTCCGCGTCTAATGAGAACATATAAATAAAGATGACATTTCCGTTGTTCAACTTCACAATAAACTCTCAAATAATATGTGAGGCATTTCAACGCGATACGAGCTGTGATCTGCGTCCCTGATGAACAAAACGCCAGGGATATCGACCACACAGTATACGTAGTAGGGTAACTGCGCTGTTTCATCGGATATGCCTCGTTCTACCATCAAGGCATCTGATCGCTGCCATGCAGGGCACTTACTATGCTGCGCCGTACTGATTCCCGTCTCCTCCGGTTCGCCGAGGTTGTTTTGATAAGTCGGATTAAACCGGTGCTCTGTGTTCAAAAGCAATTAGCGGTCAGTCTCAAGCTGCTCTGGATGTCGGATCAAGGCATCTGCCGTTTCCTCTCGTTTGTCTGTATGCATGTTTACACTCAAAACGTTGTATATACTTGCCAGTTATTGTTATCGGCACTGACGGGACGACGCGAAATGCATGCACCTGCCAGACTTCTTGTAATCGCTTTGCGGCCAGATATCCAAAGCGCAGTAAACCGACTTCAGCAATTATGAACTGGATCCATCCGTCACTCACGTTCAGCCACTACGAAAGCCATACAGAAGTAACCAAGGTATGATGAGGTATGAAAGGAGACTGGCGTTTGGAGAAAGGTGGTGCACGAGGACAAACAACCAGCGGTACATAGGGAGGTTCTGACTGATGATCCGTTGTCACAAGACCAAAATGATCCAACTAGGTACAATGGATTTGATCCCCAACTCACAGAGGGGATACTCGTCGCCGGACTTCAACAATTTGTTGTCATCAAATGTTCAAACTCACTTTCCAGGGTTTTGGGGACACAAGATAGGGCGTAGGAACTTCCAAAACGGTTGTGAACTTGAAAAGTATCAAGAAAAACCGGTTATAAGGTAAGTGAAAAATAAATTCTAGAGAATAAACCTTCAGAAGATTATGTCTAAATAATTAAATAAGTACGTAATGCAGCTGGTTCGAACGCATAGCACTGAACTATGTTGCATTTTGCATAGATACTAACCGTTGAGCTGGTATCAGGTACAGACCAAAAAATACTGATCCCTCAAAATACCGCTGAACACGTAATAATGAATCAACCCGTTTATACATGACCTCCATAGCAGTAACAGGTGCACACACAAAATGGGTGCAATTCGATATGTAGCAGATATTTAACAAATGCACCGAGATACGGTGGGTCCAGTTGCCTTTGCACAATCCTCAAAAATAACAATATTAGCATTAGTATTGCCAATTCAGAGGAATAGACAAGTAAGATCATTAGGTGGAACACTTAAGGATCAGAAATAAGAATGTAAGAGCGCCGTTGAATTCATGATCATGTCAAATACTAAAGCCTAAACTCCGATTGGTCTCAAGCATCCCATCCACGAAGACAACGCACACCAATCCGACTCAGATTGAAGGCAGACTACTCTATGCTCCTTGCAGCTCCGAGGTTTCACTCAACTAAGTGCGACATTGGTAAACGATACTTGACGGGGTTACCGGCTAACGAATATGCAAAGGAAGTGATCTAGCCAGCAGGATCGACTCCGACTCGACAGAAGCGTCAACATGGCACAGGAATGTCTGTTGCCAAACGTTGGATGCCCTCACCAGTCATGAGCAATGTTTCGTAGGCAACTAACCAGAAAGCCAATCATTTGATGCCCTCAGCGCGCAGTGGTTACATCTCTCTCATGCACACCGTAACACTATCCGCTGGCCAACACACATCTCGCAGTCTCCGTGAGTGAATGAAGCTCCGTAAAGCCACACGAGCCCTGACCATGAGTACAGTGGTCTCTTTGACGAAGCGGCCACTAAATCTGATAACTCAGTGAGTGAATCTCTCAACCACTTCCAGTGGTTGTTTAGTGATGCTAAGAACTGGTGGTATATCGAGCTAGTACTTTGCACTTTGAAGGCGCGAAACACGAGTGAAAATGTGCCATGGTACGCATCAGCCTCTGCGGAAGCGCTTGCAGAACAGGTATGTCCGAGTAAATGAGAGCATTCATACGATGATGCCATGTGAATGGATCCCTTCGTCGCTCCCAACAGCGGAACACCGAAAGATTAAACAAATGCGGAAAATCAGCCAACAGAACGCTAAAGAGATCAAGTGAAGCAATTTGGTGTGCGCTGTGCCTCCAAAACATGCACACAGGACAACAGCGTTCTGTTTCATCTGCAAATGTTCGACTCGGGCTCTAATAACATGACTTACACACAACAGGCATCTCCAGTAGCGTCTAATTCATGGATCGCGGTATTTAGGATATCGGAATCACTCTCAATAGGTAAGTGGAGACTTCTCTACAATGGCTCCCAGTGACCAGCTGCATGTGAACCACTCTATGCCGAAGCGACGTGTTCGACAGGCAGTGATTAAAGACTGCACACTTTTGTTGTCTCAGATTACATTCCTCTCTTTTTACCCGAGTGGTCAAACGGACATTTTGATTGCTGCGGGTGATAAGAATGCTTAGTTTGGTCTATTATCTGTCACCTCATGGACCATTCCGAGATCGATAATTTTTGGACTGATCACAGTTATCGCTTTTCTCACAACCTCCGGTACAGTCGCTCGTATCCAGTTAAATAGCGGCTATCGAAAGACAGGCGGATCTATAATCAAACTGACCATATCGCCATCGGTTATAGTTGGTGCACATGCATGCAAGATCGCCGGTCGGTATGGATCAATTATCTCAACGCTAACTAGGCTCTCATGGGTGCATGCATAACATTCACACTTCCCGTTCCAGTACTTTCCATCTTCGAATACCCTTGTTTGTAGTGCGTTCGCAAACTGTGAAGAAGCAACATCAGTTTAGATCGCAACATTAGTTATCACTTCCAAATGAGTTGGACGGACCGAATGTTGGCTGAAATCACTTTCAATGAGCTTTACAGAAGAATTCGAGTTCGCAAGTCTATTTTTCGTAGCATCCAAATGGAATTCTTGGGCTTCGACACGAAAAGTGTCAGAGTGTTCGCAATACTCTGAAATGTCGCCTGATTAAATTGCTAAGAATCGACTGGAGACAACGACAGATGCTGATGGCTCGCTGGATAGAGAACACTGGTGCTTTTGAGAACGCTGGAGCATCGCCACAACGCACCAGTCTGAAGGTGTCGGTGAGAAAAATAGCCAAAGAAGATGAATAACCGATTCATTCTGTTACAACTGGAACGCTGAAATGAGCATCTTCAAGATCAATTCAGTCGGCTCGGTGTACCAGGTTTTAACTAGGTCACTTACATCCAGCTGGGATGTGGACACGACCCATCAACGAAATGATGCGACATTAGGTGCTACCGCTGAAACAGAACAAGGTGTCCACAATCTACCATCATTGTTGAAGGACGATGGTGACTTGCTAATGGCTACTTTAGTCACTCTGTTCAACACTATTTGATACAAAGTGTAAGCACCTTCTGATTGTTGCTTGCCAACCGTTATTATCATCTCTATGTAGGACCAGTAAAATTTGTGCAAAAAACATAGCTACTAAGCTCATATCGTCGTCCCTCTTAATAGACGAAATGGCGAAGATCATGAAGATTTCCATCTCGATCGCATTCTTACTCTTCCCAAAGTACCCGAAAATAGCCATACTGACAAATAACTTATCATGGTAGTCTTTCCTGACGTGAAGACTGTCAGTGATTCCTTTCACTGTGTGTCTCTGTAACGATGCCTCGCTCTAAAAGGCGTACCTGAAGTTTCCTCTATTCTGAGACTCAAGGCCGTGAGTCGACAGGAAACTCTCTTGGACGAGCGGAATACAACAGAGCATATTTATCTCGTCATTTCATCTCAACCTTGTGAACGAAATGATTATGCGTTATGACCTCGCGCCAATCTGCTGGGATCGAAATTATGGTTAATGACTATATAAGGGACCATACAGCCGTCCCGATTTCGGACCCGTCTACTGTACAAGCGCTATTGGATAGGATGACGGGTACCGCTGCGCACTTCTGCACATTTCGCATCTCCGAAGTGAAAGTACTGCTGAAGGACTGGGCGGACACATCGTTAATTTTGTAGTGTGTTCGTGATCCAGGCGACGAGAACAATGTTCTTTACTTCAAGTGCTTTCTTTATTTACTTGAACTGATGGTGATTCTTACAATTATTCTTACTATCGGTTCTTTCTTGCACTGCCTTTAAATGATAGCAAACTCCCAACACTTCAGAGGAAACATTGTTACACAATGTTCTTCACTATGTGATTATGTTGTACAATATGATCAGACCATGTAATCGATCTGTGCCTCCCAATATCGAGAAATACACCATTTATTTATTTGTTTATTTATTTACTCTACAAAATAAACACAAGCTTCATGAATTTGGTGAGAGCACACTAACCGCGAAACAACTGTTCGGGATGTTTGATCGGCTTTCTTCTTTAAGTGGTTGTATTACTTCTGGTTGTCGCATCACCGACATTAGAACACGTATCAGTGGTTTGCTAAAGCATCAATCACTGACGCAATTAATGGGATATAAACCTATCGGTAGTGCGGCCAATGTTAACTTGCGGATCATATCAAAACTCGTCGATAGTTAGTTTATAGCCTCCAAAACGACGGCTCAGACTTCGGGTTCTACGGTGATGTTCGAGATAAGTAGTTCCTCTGGTTCCGGGCTGTGAACATTTGTTAGTCGTGATAAAGTGTCTGCTTGTTGGATAGTATCTGTGGAGACGTACTTGGTATTGCAGTTACATTTCAGTGGTATTGTGGCCAAACGCTGTAATCAGTTCGTTGTATACACTGGCATACCAATCTTGGAGCCAAGATGGCCAACAGTGGCTTTTGGTCAATGACAATGGTGAAATGTCTCCCAGAGGGCCTCTCCTAAAACTCTTTACGTCAACGATGATAGCCAGTGCCTTTCTCAATTGGCCTGTACTTGCGCTCCCGTGGAACTAGAGATCTAGCGACATGAACTATCGCCCGCTTCGTTCCATCGGGAAATTCGTGGGCTATGACTACTCCCACTCCACGAGGTGATGTGTCAGTTGTTAGTACGATCGGAAGCATTGTAACAAAATTCGTCGACAGAGCTTCGGACTTCAAGTATCTATACAATTGCTCAAACCATCAAAAACAATACGCGTTAACCGAGGATGAGAAATACGACTCAGTTAATGTGCTGCAATACAGAAAAAGATAGGGGATTAAATAATACAGAAAATGAAAGCTAAAAAGTAACATAATAGTAAAAAACATATTTTTGATAGGGTTTGAGATTGTTGTTGGAGGGGGGATCTAAAGGGGAGGGACAAAGAAACTCACAACGCTAACGCCATTGAGGTCGACTCTCTGCCATGTCAGTTAGTGTATCCACCCAAACGTGTTCATCGTCCTTCGGACCCCAGTCAGGCAGTCGGGAGACAACAACCGCCCCCAACTTCGAAGTGAGGATTTTAATTCCACTTGACCAAGTCATCACTTGGCCTCCCCTCCTCTTCTTCCATCCACACCCCCAGGGCGCAAACAACGCACGACGCGGGAGTCGGTGTGCTGACAAGCACAACACTTGCCCGAGCCATCGGAGTCCGGTGCGTGATATAATGGTGCTGAGCGATTCACTTGCTCTTCTTGCACCAAATACTCGACGCTGAACACGCTCATGGTTCATACGGTGTTCCCACAGGACGTGAACTAAGCTTCGAAGGCAGCGACGATCAAACAACTAGCCTATTTATGTCGGCTCATCTAATGGGTCAGGTTTCGCCACAGAAGGTTGAACGGGCGATTGCATTGTAAACTCTGTCCTTCATGACGAGAGTGATGTCACGCTGGCGCCAAAAGTGGCGGAGATTGACAAAAAGCGA